GAGTGTGGTGCGTGTCCAGCCCCTGAGCATCCTCATGGCCTCCTCTGGACTTGCTCCAACAACTCCATGTCCTTCTGATGCTGGGGACCCCAGAACTGCACCAGTGCTGCAAGTGGTGTCTCAGCAGAGCAGAGCAGAGGGGCAAAGTGTGAGTATTCAGTGTCATGCTCCAGAGGAAGCCAAGGAGAGTGTAATCAGTGCTGGAGGGTGCAGGATCAGGCTTTCCCAGGGCTGACATTGTGAAGTGCCAAGCCAGGGGGGCTGCAGAATTCCTAATCTCAGCGTTCCCTGCTGCATCCCTTCCACTTTCCAGCCCACTCCCTTTCCTCCTGCTCTGCCTGCAGAGCACCTGCACTCCTTCAGGACAAAGCGCTTTGGCTGCTTGGGCCCCGGATTGGGTTAAAACAGCATTGAGGCCCCAAGCTGCTGCCTGCACTCAGAGTTGAGCTGCTTTTCTGGCAATACACTGCTCTGAGAGAGGGAATGGGAGGAATGGAAGGAATGGAAGGAATACCTATGCTATGTCCAGGTAAGCCCAGACGAGAGCAGGGTGCGCAGGGTACACAGGCACTAACACAAAAGCTGTGCTGCAGAGCGAGGATGAGCAGTGCCTGCAGAGAGCTGGGGGGTGAGCTGGCTTCAGCCCTCAGTACCCTGGCTCGCTGCACAGACCAGGGGCAGAGAAACAACCTGGAATGTCATGGGAGCCCTGGGCTGTTTGCAGGGATCTGGGGTAAACTGTGTGCCAAAATTGCCATGAAAACACTGTACTGGGCGGGCTGAGGCCTGAGGCTCTTGGTGCAGGGCTGGGTAGAGCACTGCGATCGACAGAGCTAATCCAGTTTGTGGTGGGTGAGGATTTGGTCTATGGAAGCAGATCACTGAGGAGCTAACGTGACTACACATATTTAATGTCACTGTGTGGTCACATCAAGGCATGATCAGTGTTTCTTCTGCAGAAAACCAACATGAAACACATTGGTAAGAGCAAAGTATGTGCATCATTGTTCAGGGGAACGATACTGGGAGGCTGCAAACCCAAACCTGATAGGAGGAAGTATACAATTAATCCTGCAAAGGAGGATGGACAAGCTCCTTACTCCCACACTGCAAATCCCAAACAGGAGCAATACGTTATTAATGAGTCTCTACTCACAGTATCATAGAATGGTTTGGGTTGAAGAGACCAACCCCTGCCCCAGGCAGGGACACCTTCCACTAGAGCAGGTTGCTCCAAGCCCCTGTGTCCAACCTGCCCTTGAACACTGCCAGGGATGGGGCAGCCACAGCTTCTCTGGGCACCCTGTGCCAGCGCCTCAGCACCCTCCCAGGGAAGAGCTTCTGCCTCAGAGCTCATCTCAGTCTCCCCTCTGGCAGGTTCAAGCCATTCCCCTTGGCCTGTCCCTCCATCCCTTGTCCAGAGTCCCTCTCCAGGTTTCCTGGAGCCCCTTTAGGCCCTGGAGCTGCTCTAAGGTGTCCCCTTGAGGAGCCTTCTCTTCTCCAGCTGCCCCAGCCCAGCTCTCTCAGCCTGGCTCCAGAGCAGAGCTGCTCCAGCCCTCGGGCACAGGCAGATATTTGCCATGTCGATGTTGCATTATGCCACGTGGAGCTCTGGGTTCCACCGCAGCAGCCCAGAGAGCTGGTCCTCCCCTTGAAAGCAGGAGCAGTGTGTGTGTATGTGGTTGCACATGCTCGTTTTACCCAGGAGGAAGCCATTCCCTCTGGCTGAGCCCTGCCATGGTCCCTGCTGGTGCTGGCTGTTCCCTGCACAGGAGGCAGTGGTTGCCAGCAGCCTGTCAGCCCTTCTCCTCCAGCCTGGCTCATATTCATCATGGGCAATGTGGCCTCTCCTGCAGTTTCAGCTCCGAGACTGTTTGCTGCTGCTCGGTTTGCTCTGAGCATGCTGTGCCTGAAGTAGATGATATGACACATGAGGGTGAGGACTTAGAAATGGTGCCTTTCCTTCACCTGCACGTTAAATTCCTACTTTCTGGCTTTCCTCTACAACAAATATTGACATTAGTAATAGATGAAAATAGGGATTTCTGCTGGCAACAGGGATGGTCAGTGTGGGAGGCTCCGAAATCAGCCCCAAGTGCCCAGGAGAGCTGTGATGTGCCACACCACAGTGCAGTCCAGTCACACCAGCTTCTTCCCTATTGCTCTCTGCGACAGCACAAAAGCAGATGGGGCTCAGTTTAACCTTCCTGCAGCCACAGAGTCAGCTTTAAAAGCTCTTCTGGCGGCTGATTAACCCCCAGATACACCAGACTCAGCCGTCATCTCCTCTGGGGTTGGTGTTTTCTCCAGGTAAACACAGCCAATCCCCGTCAGCACCATCTAAACTGTATCACCTATAGTCTTTAGATGCTTGCCCTGCTCTGGAGCTGCTCGGGCTCCCTGGCATCTGCTGCATGCACTGTGGTGCCTTGGAGCTAACTAACCAAAGTCCTCCCATGGGGAAGTGTTTGGAAGCCAGCTCATCCTGACTTTGGATGCATTGGCAGGATCCTAAGAAGTTTTAAACCCTCCACGCTGTGGTTATTCCCAGTAAAGAAATTACAGGCTTAGACTTTTATCCTCTATGAGGCTGTTTTATCTGTTCTTCAGGGATATAATCATAGAGGAAGCACTGACATCTGAAAGAATGATAATTCTGCTGTTATCAGAAGGGAAAATCCTGCTTTTAATCATAGCTGAGCTGATAACACAGGGTGTGGGCATGGCATGGAACCACCTCATGAGGTTCAAGGTTTCATGTACAGAAAGAGCCTTTCTGCTCTGATGGCAAAAAAATCGCCATTCGGGATGATTTAAGGCTTTCATTAAGCACATAGGAAGGGAAAAAACGAGGTGAGAATTGAAGCATTTCAAGTATGAAGTTCCATTTTAACAACATCTCTTACTGCCTTTCCAAATAGCGACAGAGGGTTTGTAAGAAATGCTCTTTGGAGAAGCATTTAACATGCCCATTGTCCCTTTGTTTTGGGGGGAAATGAAGGATATATGGCCCGGAGCTCGTGTTATGCTGGGCTTTACCTCCGTTCCTTGAAGACACAACACAAAGGAAGAGAAGAGAGCAGCAGAGGGATGAAAAGCAGGTGCTGCGCCTCCCGCTGACTCTCGGGTGCAAATTCGCTGCAGGAGAAACCCTTGTCAGCTCTCCCGAGATGTGGAATGATGTGTTTGAGTCATCTATTATGCCTGATTTCCCCACTCTGTCAGCAGCCAGACTCTTCTTCTGTACCAGAAACAACCTGAAGAGAGTCATTTAGAGATAACAGAAGACCTACATTGACTTTTTTCCTTCTTCTTATCTCTACCTTCTGTTGGCTTCTACCAGTAATTTACTGTAATAGACCAATTTAAAGGTTCATTTCCCCACACGCGAGTCAGACCTCTGGACCAGAGGCTATGTTTGTGTCTGCAGACAAGAAAGAAGTCCCTTCAGGACAGGGACCAGAGAGCTCTCAAAGGGGAGAGATGTCACACTGAGATTTCTAAGCTTCCTTGTGGTGGATCATCCCCTTCTATATGCACAGTTTTCAACAACATCCTTTGCTGTGCTGCTTGGGTACCCTAAACTACCTCCCCACATCTTTGTCATCCCTCCATTGCATCTCGCTCTCTCTTCAGTCTCTCCACCTCCCTCAGGAGGCTGTGCTGTTCACAACCCCCCTTCACATCCAGTGTCTCCTGGGCAGCAGTCCCACCGCCCCCTCCTCATCCTCCCAAATCCTGGCATCCCTCTGCAGTGCCTGCTGTCACTATGGCAACCTGCATGAGGATGTGCAACGGGATGAGGATGCACTGCGGGATGAGGATGCACTGCGGGATAAGGATGCACTGTGGGATGAGGATGCACTG